CCTCTTTACGCACATAAGCTTAATCTTATAATAAAGCCTGTTTTGGCATGTTTGAAAAACATACTTGCAAGATTGATTTGAAATCGCTGTTAAATATAAGTTGCAGTGCACAGAAAGTAGAGCACTATACAGCTAGCACGATAAACACAGAAGCTGATTCAGGACCATGCATTTTAACAACCCATTGAACTACGTTTTATGTCAGGGATTAAAGAAGAATGGTCAAGCATCCACTGCCAGTCCATGTTACGATATCCTGGATAAACTATGATATGTGACACGAGAGAACGGATAGATGAACACAACCTTTTAATACACACAAGTAGCAAGATGGCGGGCCCAAAGAGACACCAAACTCGGGCCCAGTCCCTGACATAAAGCATACTATAACATCCCTCCTACTGTACAAAAAGGAATTGAACAAGAGTCCTTAAAGGTAATCAGTTCTTAAAAGTCAAGAGTAAAAATCCACTATTCCGCAAGGTGGGAAGTCCTTGGTAAAGTCTCAACAAATCCTGGCAACATATGGTGTGCATCAAAAGTCACTGCACTAAATCCTAAATTGGTATAACAATGGAGTACGCGTGGTAAGTGTGAACTTGAACAAACGAACTGGTATAGGCGCTCAACTCCTAAAACAAAAGGTTCTATTCAGTAAAACGAGCAGGTCTTATAATTGTACGCCCACCCTGGTCCGATAGGTCCCAGGGTTCGCACTAGCACCGGGGATCCAGGGTGAGACCAACATCTCTTGTAGGACTGGACACAACGGTGTGCGGTGCCTTAGTAGACTTCGGAATATCATGAGAGGGTTCAACAACAGGGTCATCAGACTCGGTGATTGCAGGCTCATCCTCAGAGCTAATCACAGGTTGACCCGTGTTTGCCGGGCGAAGGTGGCGCCTGTTACGGCGAAGGATTGAACCAGATTGGGTTTTCACTTCATATGACCGCGGCTCAGGTCTTGTGCAACTCACAGTTCCTGGTAACCACTTCTTTGAAGCTTGGTCCTGTATGCGTACAGGTTGCCCTGTTGTCAGGGGACTTAGATCATGCGCATTCCGGTCATAGTAGTGTTTCATGGACTGCTGACGTTCTGTCAGGCGCTGGGCGACTTTGTCCCTGTCAGGTATTCGATTGTCCACTCTGACCGGAAGATTTGCTTGAAGTTTACGCTGATACAGTAATTCAGCAGGGGACGGAAGCTGTGAATCAATCGGAGTAGATCTAAGACAGAGCATTGACATGTAAGGGTCCTCTCCAGATTTTACAGCCTTGTCTAAAGTGTTTTTAACAGTCTGGACTTGTCGCTCAATAAACCCATTGGACTGTGGGTATCTTGGGCTGGACGTTATGTGTTGGAAGCCCCATTCGTTAGAGAACTGCTTGTAGCTTTGACAGTCATATTGTGGACCATTGTCCGAAATTATGACTTTCGGTACACCTTGTTCTGACATCACGCACTTTGTAAGCCTTACAACTGTTTGTCCAGTGGATTGTCCACTTGGTATTTTCTTGATGATGGGGAACTTGGAGTAATAATCACACATAAGCAGATATTCGTCCCCATGCCATGTGAATAGATCAGTACCAACTACTTGCCATGGTCTAGTAGGTACTTCATGTGGTTCCAGTGTTTCTTTGGTTTGTGTGGTTTGGCTTTCTTGACAAATTTCACACTTCTGGACTTTAGCTTCAATGTCCTTGTTAATATTGGGCCAAAATACACAGGATTTTGCTCGTAGCTGACACTTCGCAACACCTTGGTGAGCCTGATGTATCTTCTCTAAGATATCATCTCTTTGTGATTCCGGAATAATCACTCTTTCTCCCTTGAGTACTAGACCGTTTTCAATAGATAACTCGTCACGGTAGGCCCAGAACTTCCTCAATGGCACTGGAACTTGTTTCTGTTTTTCAGGCCAGCCAGAGTAGATAATTTCTCGTAGGGCTGAAAGTTCAGGATCACAGGACGTGTCTCGCCTCAAGGCATTCAACTTATCATCAGAGAATCGCACTAGGCATACTTTCTGAAGGTCCAGTGACTCTTCATTTGGTAGAGGGTTTAGTCTTGACATTGGGTCAGCAAGAAGCATTTCTGTGCCAGGTTTGTACTTGATAGTGAAGTCATATCCTTGTATTCTGAGTAACATTCTCTGGAGTCTTGGAGGAGCAGCTGTAAGATTCTTCAAATTAATCATCTCAAGAGGTTTGTGATCTGACTCAACCATGAACCTCTTGCCAAACAAGTAGGAGTGAAATTTCTCACAAGCAACAACAACAGCAAGCATCTCACGCTCAATATTTGCATATCGTTTTTCCGTGTCCGTGAGTGCTCTAGATGCGAAAGCAACAACCTTGCCTTCTTGCACTAACGCACTCCCGAGTCCCCTAAGGGAGGCATCAACCTGGAGGATTGTGTCCTTCTTAGGATCAAAATACGTAAGGGAGACTTGACGGCAGATTGACTGCTTGATTTTCTCAAAAGCTGTACTGTGGGAAGGAGACCAGTGGAAGTCACTGCCTTTCTTAAGCAAGTTCCTCAGAGGCTCAGACAGAGCAGACAGATTTGGAATGAAAGGGGCCATGTATGTTGCTATACCAAGGAAAGACTGGAGTTCTTGGGCATCCTGTGGGACCTGGATGGCTCGGATAGCTTCCACCTTTTCTGGGTCAGGGTGCACTCCTTCAGTATCAAATAACATTCCAAAGAATGTTATCAGTTCTTCTTTAATAATACATTTGTCTAGGTTGAAGACAAGTCCATGCTCCCGCGCGACTAGCATCAGGTTGTGCAAATTGGCATCATGTTCTTCCTCGGTAGGACCATGAACTGCAATGTCGTCAGCAATGCCAACTGTTCCTGGGCATTTCTCAAGGATAAAATCCATCTTCTGTTGGAAAATATCCTGACTAACACAGAGTCCAAAGGGAAGACGAGTAAATCTAAATCTACCAAACGGGCTGTTAAAGGTGGTAAGGTAAGAGGATTCTTTATCGAGCACTACGGACCAATAACCATGACGGGCATCCAGTTTTGAAAATACTGTGCTTCCTTTGAACTTGTGGGTGATTTCCTCTAGGGTAGGTGTATGATGATGGCTTCTCTTGACAGCTTGGTTAAGATCTTTAGGGTCAAGGCATACGCGCCATCGTCCATTTGACTTTTGGGAGTAAGCCACACTTGAAACCCAGTCTGTGGGCTCGGTCACAGGTTTAATGACTCAAGATGGACCATTTCATCAAGCTCCCTTTTAATATCATCCTTGATGTGTATTGGGCACTTCCGTGGTGCATGAACTACAGGTGGCACATCCGGGTCAGTGACAATGTGGTATTCCCTTCAAATTTACCAATGCCATCAAAACGGTCAGGGTACAAAGCTTGGAGGTCACCTTTATCCTTAACTGCTGGGAGAGGCACTTTGCTAGAACATGTGCCTACTGCACAGTGTAACTCCACCAGGTTAAGTTGGCAACAGGTGGGTAGGCCACAAATAGCGGGGCCGGTGACATCAGCAACATAAAACATTGCATCAGTTGCTTTGTCACCATAAGAGCACCTGATAGAACATACTCCATGCTGGGGTATTTGGGTGCCATTGTATGCAGTCAGTTTGGTCTGACTCGGTGTTGTCTCCGTGGGAAGGCCATTTTCACCCACATGGTGTGGAAACATGTTCCGATAAATTCGCAAAGGCAGAATATTTCCCTGGGCGCCAGTATCTACTTTCACTTTGAGCACAGGGTTAGGATGATCAACATTAGGCAACTTTACTTGGAGCTTTGCAAAAGCTTCATCTTTTACTGGAGTAACATTGGAACTGTCAATTTTAATTGTCTCGAAACACAACTCATCAGAGTCTGAATTTGTCTCCTCAACTGTGTGTATCTTGTTCTGACTTGACTTGGCGTGCGGTATCCAGCCCCAGGCTGCTTCCGGAGTGAAGGTTTAGCTTTCCGATCCTGTGCTTGTTTATTTCTGCACACTTGTTCCCAGTGGTTCCACTGGTTACACTTTCTACACCTTGTACCTTGAGCTGGGCACTTTTTTTTCATGGCTGAGACCACATTTTCCACATCTGAGGTTGGAATTCTGTCTGATAGCATCTACGTTAGTGTCATGAGAACGAGCGGGTGCTGACGCACCTTGTTGGTCAAGGGATTTCATATCATTTACCGTAGCTTCCCTTGTCCGGGCAATGTCCATGGCTTTGTCAAGCTTTAACTTATCATCTTTTCCTAAGAGGACTTCTTGTATTTTTTCTTTCGCGAGTACCAATAATTAATTGCTCAATTAACCGCTCCTCTAGTTCGGCGTCACTGAATCGGCATTTCTGGGCTTGTATTTTGCACCTGGCCATGAACGAATCTACACTTTCATCATCAGCTTGTTTGAAGCCTTGTAGTTGGTATCTTGCAATCCGAAAATTTGACTTAGGTTCCAGATATGTTGCAAACTTGTCAAAAATTGCGTCAGGTTTCGCTTTCTCATCAGCGGTCAAGTCAAAAGAGTTAAAGATTTTCCGGCCCTCTTCGCCGATCCAGAGCAGAATATAGGTTGCCTTGACTTTGTCCTCTTTCGCGTTCAAAGGCCCATCAAAGACTAGCTGGCAATATTGTTTGAAGCTTTTAAATGCCATGGGTAAGTCAGAGTCATTCCATTCCATCTGAGGCGGCTTAATTCCCGAAAGCTCGCCCATGTTTGTGAGAAAACTGTGTCGGCCGGTAGAATTGCGATGATACTCGGCTGCACGCTACGAATGGTTGACTTAGTAATCCTGGTTCATCGGGTTCACCTCAATGTTTTATGAGTCAAAACGTCACTCGGCGTGTAGAATCATCCCACCGCTGCCACCATGTTACGATATCCTGGATAAACTATGATATGTGACACGAGAGAACGGATAGATGAACACAACCTTTTAATACACACAAGTAGCAAGATGGCGGGCCCAAAGAGACACCAAACTCGGGCCCAGTCCCTGACATAAAGCATACTATAACAGTCCACAAGTAACGTGCAGCTACAGCGCTCAGGATTTGCTTTCAAAGTGTGCCCCAGGAACGAAGTGCACAAGGGAACAGCTTTACTTCAGGGTGAATAGTAACCTTAGTACCTGTAGTTCTGTTCAACTGTTCGTCAAATGTTTGCAATTGAGAAGTCTCAGTAGAGTTAACATGTACGATGTGGTGTGCGCTTGTCACTTGTGTTGTATTTTAAAATCCGTTTTTGCATTTGTTTTCTTCCCAGTTTTATTGCTGGGCACCCTGGATCTCATGGTTTGGAACCTTTGAGTTCATTGTAATTTTTCTTAGAGCACAACCTTGTATTTAAGCATCCTTCAACTTGGGAACCATCAGCTTTGCTGAAGGTGTTTACTGGCAGTTTGACGCAATTCCTCGAAAAAAATGATGATGCTAAACTGTTCTAACAAATCTATTATCATTTCAATGGTGTTAAAAAAAAAAAGAAGTGGTGGGATATCATTTTCCCCTGAGCTTGCATCAACTTGGGTGTGTATAATAATGAGTTATTACGTGTATTTACATTTTCGGTGTTTTATGTCTTAATGACAATTACAAAAGGTTTCTTTCTTTTTTAGAATTTGCTCCGAGACTGTGCAAAGCAGTCTAAGATCTGGGATAAGGCTTATCCCCTACCTTCCATTGCTGATGGAAAACTGAATAAGTTTTTTGAACTAGTAAGTACTTTACAATGCACTACATGATATCTTACGCTGCAACTACTGTACCAGCTGTACCAAGATAAAGTTGACCAACACCTAAGACTTGTATTGCTCATGATCAGTTGCACTGCGAGTAGACAATTGAAATTTCATTGACTTGTTCTGTTCTTGACATTTCATTGGCTATAGAAAAAAAGTTGGAATCAATTGTTTCCGTTCTGCTTTGTTATGGTTAACTTTATGTGGGTGACCCTGGTAACAGTAGTCACACTGTATATTGTATAAAAAAAACAAAACATGAAATTTCAGTACAACTAAACTTCAACTAAACTTTCCTTCGTGATTTGAAAACAGGTTAACGCAGCGGCCCCACAATTAAAGGGCTATAAAAATGAAGTAAAGACACGCCTGGGCCAAGCCCTTCAAAATAAAAGAAAATATCGAAATGATGTGAAAGCTGGGAAGAGAAAGGGACCGAATGGGTAAGTAGTGGATATCCTCTTGTTTACTTGAGGTTGGCCTTCATTCTTGTCTGATTTTCTTCATGCTTGTTTGTTTGGCTGTCTCATTTAATTTTGTTGCTTTTTTTATTTCCTGTGTTTTTACCTGCAGATTACATGTAGATTAGTAATAAATCATGCCTTTTTATGCACCACACATGTCAATGATTAAAAGTGTACATGTGCGTATATTTACCATCTTACGTTTGATTTTTTTTCAGTAATAAGGATGCAAATACGGATGCAAAAGTGCAATGTAGGAAGTCCATTTCTAAATTTTTAGAAAGAGAGGCTGCATCATCATGCAGTCAAAACAGGTAATGAAAACTTTGGAACTCAAATTGGTTTTCAAAGTGCAGGGAGGTTGTTGCCAAAACTATATGTACAGCTAAGACTTTCAGGAGATAAGCCCTAAGACCCGAAAACTAATACCCTTTATTTTTTTTAAAATTTAGTTTCTTTCTATTTTTGGTTTTAAAATAGCACTGACTGTGATAGCAGCACTGACACAAGTACCAAAATAAGTCCTGATGCACATTCATCAGCATTTTCTCATGGGTAAGTTTTCCTTTCAGCTCAAGTATATACTAGACCACTGGAAATATAAAACACCTAATCTATGAAACAAATATTAGTTTAGTAAATATAACATCACTTTTTTTTTCATTTTCATCCATTTAGAGAAGAAGTCTTTGTGTACAAGACTGCAGAGAAAAAACTAAAATTGGCCAAAGCCATTTTTGTTGGGCCAGATGATGAGTCTGATAAAGCTGGTAATGTTGACGATGACAATGAAATTAGAGCAGTTTTCAATTCAGTGTTGTAAACCAAAACCAAAGTAATTACACCAGCCAATCACAATGAACACAGACAATCCAATAAACCAATCAAAACTCTAAGCAACCACATGAAGGTGATGTGAAGCACAGGAAAATGTGTAGTAGCTGGTCACTATTGGTTTTGGTTATACTTTGGATTGACTGAGAAAGTGGGGTGAGTTTTTCAAACCAATCAAAAAGCGTAGTAATGCAAAACCAAAGTGAATGCAAATTACTGAAGTGAAAACCACTCTATCATTCAACTGTAGATCAGATTTAAGTCAATACATAGTAGTTACAGTAGCTCGTGAGGATCCAGCATCATGTTGGCTGTGCTGACGTAACAAATGTTAAGGGATCTAATGTCTTGTGTAGATTATGTTGCTGTGTAACAAAGACCAGGTGTGCAAACTGTTAACAAATAGTCAGCACTTAGTGCTAAAAGTTTTATTCTTTCAAAATTTCCCTTCCTTTTAAGGCATGTACTCGTTGTTACAACTGAATGCAAAATATATCAAAGAAGATGAGGAAATACCATTACCTGCTGAAACAGTTGATGGTGATCTGACTTTAAATGAGGTTCAGGTAATATATTTACAGTGTATTGAATTCATTAAATAATCATTTGGACAAATTAAAGTGAATAGTTCACTTTAAGGTAGTACTGTAAAAAGATGCGCAGTTGTTAGAACCTCCACTTTTTTGATAGGCTCGGGCCTGCTGCATAAAAATGGCACATCAAATAAATTAATTGTAAATCAATATCATAATATTGCACTTGCTTTCTCAATCTTTGTATCTGACTTGCTTAAGGTGAATGGAGTTTTCACATGGAAAACCATCAAGCTATCTTCAATCTCTAAGAAAGAACCACCAAGAAAGAAGCTAAAGGTGAGGATCAAAAGCTAAAATTTACATTTTTATGACCCCATGGTCAGTGTGCAAACAAAGTAGTGTCCGATAGCCCGGGGGTAGGGGATTTTGCTATGGGGCTAGTAAATTCTGTTTTTAACTGGCCCGACGGGCAAGTGATCTTTTTTGAGGAATTCAAATAACAGAAGAACTGTGAGATCAATTCTGCTCCTCAAAAGCTTTTCGGGCTAGTTGAAATGACGTCTGGGCTAGTAAATGTTTGCTTCTTCTTGCCCGAATGGCAAGCTGTGAAAATGATCTTCTTTGCACCCTGCCCATGGTACTCCTGAAGATGACCAGGTCAGGCTGCTGCTGTCAGCTGCTAGTGCTTTCAGTAAGCATGAGCCCACTATTGAAATAATCTGAATTAGTCTACAATGTAGGAGGAAAAGAACTGCTCCTTGTTTAATTATACAGGTTAATATTTATTATTATCTACTCGTGAAACCAGCTGCCTAGTGACATGTTCATTTACTTGAAATTTTTTTGCAACCCTTAAACATGTAAGGTGTTGTTTTCAAGTTTTAAAATTACCAAGGCCGAAGACTTAATATATGGATGCTTTGCAATTTTCTTTGTTATTTTCTGCCTATTTTAGAGTCAAACGCCGTTGGTCACCATGTCAAAAGGTAATCAAATAAATACACACTTTACACCATGCAATTACCGTCTGTATCAGTATGGATGGAATGTACATGTTTTGACTCCAACATCTCTGTTTAGGATAGGCTTGAAAATCATCTTCATCCCTACCACTCTTTATCTCTTTGTCCTTATAAACCTCATAATTACAGAACTGCTCAAAAGTAAGTTAAGGTAGAGTGCGGCCAATTCTGCCATTTTCGCCAAATACACCATTTTCGCCAACATCGCCACTTTCCAAAGGGCCCCTTTGCCATCTCATTTGAATGTTTGTTTACAGTTTGGCGATTTTGGCAATTAAGCGCCATTTCCGCCATTTTCGCCAATGCGTGCATTTCTGGACATATCTCGCTCGGACATGTGCATAAATCAAATTTTAAAGGGGCTGTGTCACGCAGTCCAGTTCGTTTTGTTTAATTTTGCCAATTACTCGCCCTCAGTTGTTATGGAATTTAAAGTAAGCAAAGAAATTACAGGTAAATGACAAAATCAGAGATCCGAGACAAACAAATATGTCTCCCGAGCATTATTTCTGATGTTGCAAGCAGCAGGGATCAACTTTGAAAAACTGTTGAGCTGAACAGTTTTCAAAAAAACTAATTTCAATCAGTTTCAATCTTCTTCAGTTTTGTCCATCCGTGGCATCTGTTGTTTCTGTTATTTTATTTTAACCTTCCTATAAAGTTTTGAGTGGCTATTTTTATGTTTCTCTTAATTTAACGGGCATTTTGTAATTTCCTAATTTGGCTGAATTTCGTGACACAGCTCCTTTAAGGTAGTTTTTGGAAGTTGAATCATCCCCCTCCTTTAGGCTTTTCGTTTTTGTCAATTTTTTTTTTTGCTTTTCATTTTGCTATCTTTCTGCTGCAGTTGTTGTTATTCTACCAGGCTTGCTTGCAGGCTCTTTATAGGTTGTTTAGGACATTTCAGGAGTCAATGGGTTAACTATTTTGTATTCTTAAGAAGGCAAATGTGTACAGTTTATGATTTATTATGTAATAACTTATAGAGGTTATCAATTTGATGTTTTACAGGTGAAACAAATGCAAAGGAAGATTGTCTCTTACAGAAAAGTGTTCAAAACCCCTCCTCCTTTGTCAAGGTAGTGACCTAAGTAGCTTTTTTTCCTTCATTGTTCAAAATTATTTTTAGACTCCTCTGGGGTGAGAGAAAAGTTCTTCACTATCTATGTATTGAATTGGTAGAGAGATAATTGCAATATAAATTATGTAATTTCTCACTCTTTGATGATTTGCAGGGCTATGATGGAGGTATTTTAAGTGTAGGCCAGTGGGTGGCAGTTTATTATGACAAGAAATTTTATATTGGCAAGATTACTGCTATTGAATTGCTCATACTGGACTCCCAGGAGGAGATGGTCGACATTACATACACAGTAAAAAAAGCTGAGTAAACTGAACTCAAAATACTGAGTAAATCGTTGCATCCATAGTGACCCATTATAGTGAGTAAACTTAAGCAGAAATACTGAGTAAAGATTACTGACTAGCATGAGTAAGTTTACTCAGAATGAGTAACTTTACTCACAAGTTTGAGTTGAAAATACCCATTTATCGAGTACAAATAACTCAAAAGTAGAGGTAAAATTACTCAAGAGAAATGCATCCATGGTGACTCTTTATTTTGAGTAAAACAGCCAATTACTCATAAATTGAGTAAAGGCTACTCTAAATTTTGAGTTAAATCAAATTTTACTCTGTCAATGAGTTAAAACAATACCTAAATAATCGAGTAAAGAAAATGATTATATTTACACAATATTTTGAGTAAAAGTGAACTTCACTTCAAATGAGTGCAACAAAAACCCTGTCAGCAATGGCAGATCCTTATGCCTGCCTGGAAAAGTTTCAAACGTTTTTTAAAATACACAGCCTGGCAAGGACCCGTGGGTTTAACTTAGTCCACACTGTACATACTTACTGATTTGAGAACAGCAACTATAGTAAGCAGTTAATGCCAAACAATAAGCAAATTATCTTTCAGTGTTTCTTTACATTTTTTATTATCTCATTCAGGCTTTAACATCTTCAGGTAGTGGTGACATTTTTCCATATCAGGCAGAGTTTGGTAGACAGCATGACAATTTATTAATTACATGCCCATTCAATATTTAGACTTGCACACTGGGTGCTCCCAACTAACCAAAGCAAATGAAAATGTCATAACATGGCTGCAAAAGATTATATTTTCAAAAGAACATTTATCCAAGTAACTCATCATTTAAGTTCAATGGATAAACAAGAAACAAATTTTTGTAAAAGTATGCACTTTTCATTAATGGTGCCATGGTGACCAAAACACTTTGGTAAATTTGACGCATCCCTGAGCTGTGATAGTGGACACAACAATGTCTAAGAATGTGATCGTAAATCTTGGTTGAAAAAGAGGTACATCCAAGAGTCGTGACCAGTATCCTCGGTGGACAGAACGCTTTTTCTTAAAATTTCTGTATTGAATGAACATTTCAACTGAAATTCTAGAAATTGTTGCATTGAATGTACCCTTTGCCATAGATAAAAATTAAAACTATTCAGTTCACAGTTTAATACATTAACAGTCCATTCAATTGGTGCAGCTGTGTTCAATTTGGATGATATGTTTCCCTCAAATTTGCAAGTTGAAGTACAAATGGGGTTCTTCAGCAGACTCCTGATGCACCACCTTAAAATCAGGACAGGAAGGGCAATCTCTCTTCTTCTGCTATGCTCTAGTTTAAACGTCTTTGTTTCTGCCTATGAACAAAAGAAAGGAAGATTAATAAATAAGTTGGAAGGTAAATAGTACTACAGGGAGCCCACACAATCTCGCAGTGTGCGTAACCGATTGTTATTTTATAGTGGATTTACTGTTTGCTTCAGTTATGGCGATAAATCACTTACTATGTATATAAATCGATGTTAAATAAACGCTGTCAACAGCGAACTCAAAATCCTTCAAAATTGCTCAAAAAACCACTTTTGAGGCAAAAGGACGACAATACATATACCAAAGGTAAGGTAATTCAACCTTTATTCATTTCGATTTATATACATATTGATTTATCGTTACAGGTGAAGCAAATGGTAAATCTAGTGTATTTAAAATAAAATAGCAATTAGTACACACATTGCGAGATTGTGTGGATTCCCTGTGATAGTACTTGTGTATGTTATAAATACAGGTTAGTTTTGATTTATCCTAGGTTAATTTTCAATATCCTTTTTCTCCTAGCCCTAATAATTTATTAGAGCTAGGAGACAGAGGAAATTAAAGAGAATCATTGTTAAGTACATTAAATCAAAATGAACCTGAATCTAACTTTGAAGCTGTTTTTTAATACAGCAAAGGCATAACTGGCTTTTACTGGCCACATTGCAATTGAAGGAATACTCCATAGGACCCAGGAAATTTTTGTCAATCAAAGTTGAAAATTCCTTTAACAGACACATAATTACCACCAGGTCCTGGTAATTCAAATGTTGGATAAGCACTATCTATCCACCAGGCCCCAGTTGTTCAAATGCTGGATAGCGCCATCCACAGGATAATATTAGGGAAATCAAGTGCGGCAATATCCGGCAGAAGATAGTGTTATCCACATCTTGAACAACTAAGGCCCTGAGCACTGTAATACTGTGGTTATAGGCAATATTGCAGCAGATTTGATTCATAATCATAAAATCATGACAGTTAGCTCTCTCTTACTCAACACCCAAAGTGAGTCATTTTCTTTGAAATGGCCATCACATGGAGCTTAATACAAGTATATTTTTTGAAAAACTCCTTAAATTAGTGGCTGTTATCATCACGGAGAGGTGGCCTTGAGTGAATGTATGGAATATCCAATTCCACTGGAATTAGAAAAAGTGGTCATTGGTAAAGAGGTAAATATGAGTAAACATTTGTCTGTTATTATAAAAAGACAAAACTAAAAAAGAAGATAATTATTTAAAGATGTCATATTATACAATGGAACCTCTATTCAGGGGAATCCCTTGGGACCAAGGCAAGTGTAATAATTAACCAACTAATAAAAATGTTTTCTTTTATCCTGCCTTGGAATCTGC